TGGAGCTGCAGACTTTCAGTGAAGTAACCCTGAACATGGCAGATTAGGATTGTTGCAATGTGCAATCAAGAGAGCGAAACCAAGTGAAACCGTGATGTTAAAGCTTGATCTTGGATTGAGGAGTGTCACAGCTGTGAAGGGCACTGCCCATCAAACCAGCCATTTTTTTATTTTATTTTTTTTATTTTGGCTGTTAGGTTGTTTGTCAAATATGTGCACCAGCTTGTATCAGCGGCAATCGGGCAGACTTGATGCGAACGGATCTGCGAGAGCATCTGCTGGCGCGGCGGGCAGCGATATGTGATAAACGCTGATTTCACCCTCCACTGGATCGAGTTGGCGATGATGGCCACCTCTCCCCGTGCTCGTCCGTCCTATTAAACCCTCATTATTCATTTACCTCCAGCCGCAGCCGACTGACACGCGTGGAATGAGAGCACACAAACACGCTCCAGCAAAAAGTGAATTGCTCTCATATTTCTGTTTAATCTGAAGCGGTCAAGGACACACACCGCTATCTCATACTGGCAGGATTCTGACAGTTTCTTTCACTTGGAACCAGATTCTAAGGTTTTTGTAATATACACGCATGTGCTCAGACACACACGGTTCGCCCGTGTAGTGCTGAGGCGCACTGGCAAGGAGCTTAATTCTATCAGCCTGTGAGCCGGACAGCCGTAATTACATTTGTGACACAAATCCTGTCTCTCAAATTGAGCGTTTTATTCCTGAGCGCTCCCGCCTCTCTATTTATAACCCCTTATTCGCCATAAATCCCACTTCCTCTCAGAAAGTCAATTTGGGACTTAAAAGGCAGCGACGCTTGGCTTAGTTTTCCTCCCCCTTTGACTCAATCGCCGCTTCAGTTTCACTTTTACCCCCTTTTTTAAAATGGCTTTACTTCAAAGATTTGCAGGCACAGAAAAGAAGTGAAGTGCCCTGATGCGATGTTGTTCCTATAGAAGAGTTTCTGAAGAAACTGCTGAGGCTTTAGCTGCTTCTTAACCCTTCTTACTCACCTGTCCTTCAATTTCTCCWAGAGCATGAATGTCAGAAGCTTTCTTCTTCTCTTCTTTGTGACATTTACTTAACTTTTCTTCTTTATCGCCCCTTTTCCTGTTGGCTCTATCTTTTCCTGGCTTTCCATCCCCACTGCTCTCCAACCATATGCTGAATGGCCTTCACTGGATCTTCCATCACGTCTTCCTCTCTCCAGTTGGAGGCCAAACTTGAGAACAGTTTGATGTTTCATTTTATCCACCCTCTGTTGTGTTTTCTTCACCATATTGCCTCTCTACATCATCCATCACTTCTTTTTTCTCATCTCCATGTACATCCTGTAGGACTSTAATGTTAAGGATACGTCATTGCAGTATAGGTTTTTAAAATCCTTCAAATGACTTTGTATTTAGCTTTAAAGCCAATTGCRTATTCGTTTAAAGCCACCTTGAACAGTTCTATATATTTATGGACTTTGAAAGGTGTTTTGTTGTTGTCAGGGTTTCCCCTAGGATTTTTTTTTAACCGTGGTGGTGTGATGACCTCTCATGAGCGGGGTGGAGTTGGGGGGTAAAATGTAATTTAGTAAGTATATTGTTATGTATACAAAGTTTACTATATACAAATGTTCTCAGTCAGCAGGTTGACAGTTTTAGGAGCTGCCTGAGGAGAACTTTCTCGTTCTCCTCCTCATCCTCTTTGAAATAGAGATGAAAAACCAACATCCATCCATAAGCTTTCTGCTTACAGGTCAAACATTTTTATTTAAATAGGAGTACACTGTGTTTTTATTAAAAGTTACAGTTTAATGTTCTTAGGACTGAAGACTTTCTGAGGAAAGAGGTTTTTAAACATCTTTTCTATCATTTTAGTGTTTTCAACTGAGGGGCTTTGATATGTTTATTTGGAAAAAAATTATTGCGGAGGAAGTTCTCT